CTATTCTATCCAGCCTCTACTTGCATCTTTCCTGGTTACAACGGGAGATGAAAACCCAGTGTGCTGCCTCCAGGTGGTTTAATGAGCTCTGGTTCCACCAACACAATCAGGTTCACTGTCTCCGTGTCACCGGCACTGCATGAATGTCACTCATCTGAGGTTGGACATGTGTGCTAAGTACTGACTTTGGACTCTAAAGCCTTCTGCTTCAGACTATGCTGGTCCTCAGTGGGGACCTTCCTGCTGTCACCATGGGAAGGTGCTTCTGTTCTCCAGAGACATCATCAATGTTTCCAGCCATGAGGAATATTTCCAGACAAAAAGAGATTTGCAGGTGGTTGGCCTGTCACTTTTGAATGTTTTGCCAGGCTTTAAAAGCAGAGGAAAGAAGGTGGATCAGAAAGTAACAACCTTCCAATAAAGGACAGTTTTAAAACTTTGGTTAATTATCGGTTAACCCTGGCTAAGCTTTAATTATTAGAATTGGCTTTCTTCACATGATTGTTTGGGTTCATGATGGGTCCACCCCCAGCCCGGCCACAAAAAAACCACCCTCAGAACTGGGAGAGCAGAGAAGTTAGCAAAAAATAGCCCTGAGGGAGGAAGACTTTTATGCACTGTGGTCCCTTGCTATGCTGCAATTGAAGGCGAGGTGGACCGTAAGGTGATCCTGTTTGCTGATGTCACAATTTAGAGTGGTTAGAACATAAAGCAGCTATGAAGAGCACCAGAAGGATCTCTCCAAACTGGGGAAATTCAATGTAAGGCACAAATACCCTAACTTCACCTGTTTGTTAATAAGGTCTTAGCTGGTGGTAACTCCCTACAAAAGGGATTTGGCGTTGTGGCAGACAGCTTGATGAAAGTGTTGACCAAGTACCACATTATTAGATGGACATTATTAGAAAGAGAACTGAAAATAAAGCTGCCAATAGCATGTGGTCTTTTGTAAAACTCTATGGTGAAACTATACTTGGAACACTGTGCACTGTTTGCGTCACTGCACCTAAGGAAGGATATTGTAGAAAAACTAGAAAAGAGCTGCCCACATTAATAGAATGCTTGTGGCAAGTGCCCTATGAGGAAAGATGACAAGGTTTGGGATTTTCAGCTTAGAACAAAGGTAAGAGGACATGACAGCACACCCAGAGTTATCCCATGAAGGTGAATGGTGGGAGATCCAGGATAGATCGAAGGAACTACTTCTTCATACAATGCATGATTAAACTACGCAATTTGCTACCACAAGAGGGGACTTCCGATGGCGATCGGAAAAGGCGATCAGACACATTAGAGGATAAGGTTGTCCGTGGCTCCTTGGCAATATGGCAGCATGGGGTCAGTACTGGCAGCAGCAGGGTGCGTTTCCTCATGAGTGAGGCAGCCGGGGCTGGACCTCCGGGGGAAGGCTGGGGACCCAAATGACCAGCTAGAGAGCAGCAGGTGATGGGGGGCTGAGGCATGCTGGGTCTCTTGCAGCTGGTGGCAGCAGCTTCTCTTACTTCCTTTGCTAACAACTGTAGTCAAACAGAACATAGTCACAGCTGATCACTTCATGACGTCTACTATAAACACTGAGCGTCCCTTCCTACAACAAAATGGTGCTTATTCTTAAATCAACAGCAGCAGAAGCAAACTCCATTTTATACTTGTAGTCTGGACGGTGCTTTGATTTAAGTGTGTTTAAAATGTGAAATTGCACATGCTCCGAGTATTTCTGATTTTACCCGGACTGACACAGAGTTTTTGTTGTAGTTGTTGTCTGAAGTTACCTTGCTGCACCTCTGGCTCAATACCAGTTACTGCAGAATATGCTCACAAAGATACTATGGAAGAATACCCGGATTATGTGCTTCCTATCTAGTTAGCCACTGAGGGAATGGATACTGGACTAGCTGGGTCTCTGGTCTGATCAGCATGACACTTATCGTGTTCTTTCCATGACCGAAAGCAGAGAGAGGGAGGGAGGGAGGGAGGGGAAATACTCTGCAGGCTCGTCAGCTACCACCTTGGAGCCATCCCTATGGATCAAGCAACTGAAAAGGGTGCGATAAGCCAGGAGCATGTTGGCAAAGGGAATAAAAGCGGACACCTGTCTGGTGCTTCCACAGCATGGCAGGATGGTCTGGAAAGGGTACATCCAACAGTTGCAGGCCTGAACCCTGATAAATACTTGTCCTTGGGCAAAGTCACTTCTGATTCCAAAGCCAGGAACTAGCAGGTTCCTCCATGAACGGTTTATGAACACTGAGGGTTTCTGAATAAGCTGTTCCTCCAAACACACACAGAGGCACACACACATATTAAATATTTTAGCAAAAATGGCATCTTTTCCCATACCCTCCCATTAATATATGTCCTGGAAAAAATAAGACTTTGAAGTAGGAAGTTTATCCTCTCTATTTTTAACTTGATGGAATATTTGAAAAAATATCTGTTGAGATTATTTCCCCCTCTCTTTCGGGTCGTTGAGGATGTTTACTATAGGAGATGGAAACAAAATATGCTGGCATTTCTACAAATATGTCAGGAACTGTTTCCTAGAAATGCTGATTACTTTACAGGCCACTGTGGCTCAAATACTATTACTACCATCAGGATATGAAAGATGTACAACACAGCGTAACAATTTCACACATATTCTTAGTGATACTATGTTAATCCATTTATACTTACTAAAAGTATGTTCTATGGATTCTCACCTGTTTAATCAGAAGATGCTGCACTGATTGCATGCATCTTACTTCCAAGTAATCTGACACATTTTTATTCTTATTATAATCACTGCTACTGCTATTACTACATTATTACATTACATTTATGTTTTTCCTCTTGCAAGAAACTCAAGGTGACTTAAATGATCTTCCTCCTCCTCTTTCTTTTATCCTCCATTTACAAGGGAATACATTTAGTAAGCTTTCAACCTGAACTCAGTTGGACAAACTTCCAAGAAAATTTAAGTACTGGAAGCAAGCAGTGCTGGAATTTCCCAAGTGTAGGCTGCAACGCTAAGCAGAAAGCATTGAAACTGAAGAGACTTCTGTGAATTCACAAGAGTTTAGTACTGACAGGTGCTAAAGACGTAAATAAAGTTGAGTTTTAGGAGCAAGCAACAAGTGGAGTGTTTCATTTCCCCCAAAACACTTCTGAGTATTTCTAAGTGCAGTTTATAATGTTTTCAAATATCCCTAGTCATATAACACATCTGGCTCAGCAGCTGGGATTATTCCCATCTCTCCTGGTCACCTTGCTGCCCTCTGATTTCCTCTAGAGCTCCAGGTTCCTCATTATCTGACTGTCCAATCTTTCCTCTTCTACACACAAAGATACACACACAAATCTGGTGCTTCTGTGCCACACAAACAGCAAACGGGCAGGAGAGTGTTGTTTGCCCAAAAACCTTATCACAAGTTTTTTAAAAAATCATGCCAAAAGGAGCAGTGTCCCTTCTTTAATTGAGCAGCACCTGACCCACGTGACCAAATGCTGACTCTCAGGGAATGGCCCAGTTGTTGAGGAGGTTCAGTCCCGCAGGAATGTGCTTCAGGTTGCAGAAACTCCTTCATCTGGCCTTTGGAAGGGTTGCAACCTGGAGCACTATGCTGCCACCTCCCACGAACCCATCAGGTTCTTTGGACTTTTCCTGCTTCTTTCTGTCTTCCCAGAATCCACTTGGGAAACAAGGCAAGTGTTTCTTCCTGCACTTTACTGAGCACTTCTTATTCTGGCCAAATGATCCTGGGAATTTCGTCAGTGGGTACAGGAAGGCAGACTCTGATTTGCTCTACCTCTTTGGAAGACTTAAAAAAAAGAAAGAAAATACGAAAAGGGGACCTGGTCACAATATGAACTGACAGCTTTCCTACTTCCCCTCCTGGGTTCCTCAGAATAAAATACTGTGTAGGGAAGAAGGGAAAGGACTAGAAATTAATTTCCTGCCAGGCTTAATTTAACTAGCCGAAATACTTGGACTAAAGCCGATTTGAAGCTGAGCGTGCTGAAAATCATACACGGGATGCACAGTGTTGTGGGAAAGATCCCCCTCAGCTTTCATCGTTACCTACACAACTTTGCCAAAATTAGGGGCTATCCTTCTTCCTGCCCTGCCACACAAAGTGACTCTGCTAGTTTTTCAGTACCAACATAGTGCAAATCAGTCATGGAGCACAAGAAAAATGAAGAAAAGTGTGTGGCCGAGCCTTCTTTTCATTCGCTGTGCCTAACTGAAATCCATACAGCTGAGTTTATGAAGAAAAATCAGCCAGTCAAAAGCTGAAGGGTTTGAGCCTTTTTTTGCTAGCAATGTCCAAGCATCGGCCAAGTTGACATTGCCCACAGAAGCATATGCCAAAATAAACGTGTTAGTCTTTAGGTTGCCACAAGACTTTATACTCTGTATATTTATACAAAGGCTCCTGTGCCACGACTAGCTGGATGATGGGCAGAAACAGGTAATGCTTAGCCTGTTGGCAGTTTCCCCATGTGGGGAAACCCTGCCTTAGGAGCACAGGAACCCAGGAGCGCCTGGGGGAGTGACTTTCTTCGAGCAGGGGTTCATCCACAGGTTCTACCCCGCAGGAAGAAACATAGGAGAGTACTTGAGAGCGTGAGTTACGTGTCTCCCACATGCTCGTTCCGTGATCCGGCCAGGTCACAGAGCACCAACCCATTTCGGATTGAGGGGTGTGAAAAGGGCGAACTCCTCAAGGCTCGGTCCCCACCTGAGTCTGGGTCTAGTTTTAAGGCTCGGAATTAGCCTGGGGTGGACAGCCCAGGAATAAACTCTACCCTTGCAACGGGTGAAAAAGCTGCATGTGCGCACACTCTGAACAAAGACACGAAGGGGCCGGGCCTCGCCGCATGCCTAGGGCCATCGGCCGGGAGGACGAAAGCTCTGCGCGGTCCGTTCACACCGCGCAAGCGCCGCAGGGCGGCGAGCGCGGGGGAGGCGCACGTGTGAAGCCGCCCCGCCCCGCCCGCCCGCCCCGCCGGGCACTCACCGACGCACTCGTTGGCCTCGCGGGCGGTGGCCCTCTGCCAGGGCCGGTCGTAGTGGAAGGGCTTGCAGCGGTCGCACTCGGGGCCGGCGGTGTTGTGCTTGCAGTCGCAGACCAGGTGGCCGTCGCGGTCGCGCACGCAGCGCGAGGCGTGGCCGCTGCACTTGCAGCGCCCGCCCACCTGCAGGTCGGAGACGGCGTAGTAGTAGGAGTCGCGGGCCAGCTCGGAGTCGTCCTCGTTCTCGTCGCCGAAGGTGTGCAGGCGGCTGAAGACCACCTTGATGTCGGTGGCCGTGACCCAGTCCTGCAGCACGGGCGAGTTGTCGAAGTCGTGCGCCGAGGGGCGGCCGTCGAGCGTGCTGAAGGCGATGAGGCCGCCGGCCAGGGGGCGCATGTCCGTGTGCGAGTCGGTGCAGATGGCCTCCTGCTCGTTCTGCTTGGTGATGGCGGCGCGCGTGGGCTTGTTGTACATCTTGCGGCACTGCGTGGAGTAGAACTGGAAGGGCACCCACGTCTTGCCGCCGTCCATGGACTTGGCGATGGCCATGGACTCGGGCCGCGGCGAGCAGAACTGCAGGCTGACGTAGGTCACCTCGAACTTCTTGCCCAGCGCCAGCGCCAGCGTCACGTTGAGCGGGTGCTGCACGAAGCTCTCCGACTGCCAGCACGTCAGGTTGTGCGGGTTGTTGAGGTCGGTCAGGTAGGCGGCCGGGTGCGCGCGCCGCGGGTCGGCCGCGTCGCACAGGTGGCACGTGCGCGTGCGCTCCTCGCCGCGCTCGGCCAGCACGCAGTAGCGCGCCTGCGGCCGTCCGCACGTGCTGGACACGCGCACCTCCTTGCCGAAGGCGGCGTTCACGAAGTCCGGGATGCAGCGCCGCGGCTGCCCGTTCTCGTCGTAGCAGGGGTCCGGCTGCGCCGCCGTCTGCACGGCGAACATGCTCAGGCCGTGCCCGCCGCCGCCGCCGCCGCCGCCGCGCACACCCTCCGCCAGGCACGCCACGGCCGCCAGCGCCACCAGCGCCTCCCAGGCCGTCGGGGACATCCTTGCTGTCTCGGCCGCCGCGGCGAGAGGAGCCTGGAGGGGGGGGAGGGGGGGAGGGGAGAGCAGAGCAGAGCGCGCGTGAGGCCGGCGAGCCGCAGGTGCCGCGCGCGCCCCCGTCGCGGGCCCGGGCCTCCGGGCGGGAGGCAGCCGGCGCTTTCGCCGGCCGGCGGGCGAGTGCGGCTGCAGCGGCGCCGCTCGAGCTGAGCCTGCGCCCGCCCCAGGCTTAAGCGGTGGGCGGACTGGGCTGCCGTGAGGCGGGCAGGGCGGGCGGGGGGCGCCGGCCCCGTCCCGCTGGAGTGACGGATGCCGCTTCTGCCGCCAGCCCCGTCTCTAATCTGTGCCGCTGACTGGAACGGGGCAATTTTAAGCGAGGTTAACATAAGCTTGCTTCTCCCCGCCTGTCTCTCTGCACATGTCTCAGCAGGACTGCGTTTATCCCTGGAACGGGGGAAGCGATCGTAAGGAAAAGAGAGTCTCTGAGAGCGTACAGGGTGTGTTTCCTTCAGCAACACCCGACACCACACATCTGGATCTCAGAATGGCCCCCCCGGGATAGAGTGGAGCTTACTAGATTTGCCCCTTTTTTAGAAGGTAGCCGCTCACTGAGAAAAGGAAAGTGTCACAACCAGTCCCTGCCTTGAGTGTTTACTTGGGACAGGAGTCCACTGAGCTGCAGGGCACTCGCTTCCTTAGCCTCTGTCAGCTACCTGAGAAATGCATTCCCATACCGTCTCACATGCTTCCGATCCACATCCCACCTAACTTGAGATGAAAAAGTACAGGCACTCCCAAACTAAACAGTTCAGCGGTGGAAATGAACTCCACTGAACCTAATTGGATCCATCCACAGTGCCTGTTCAGGAATGCCCACTGATTCGGTCCTGCTGAGGACAGATGCTAGGAGAGAGACCTGCTAGGAGTACTGGTTCCCATAGAATGGGAACGACCTGCTCCCAGGGATGCACTATGGAGAAAAAGAGCAGTGAGGATGAGCCAGCAAAGTGTAAGCATAGCAGCAGTAGTGCTAAAGTGGTGTTTTCATGGAGGGTCGCTGGCTCAGAAATACATTCTTGAGAACTCAGGAGGACTACATTTTAAAGAAAGGATGTGGCATATGTTACCTTCATGCATATTCCCCCCCCCCCAGTGCTTAAACACTCCCTTGCAACACATATGACAGCATGTCTTGAGAGCACCTTGACACCAACCCACCTTCTTCCCCTGGGCAGCGCTTCCCTGCTAGTCATTGCCCAGAAGAGTCTGCTATTTAAAAGAAATGCACTATTTGGATGAAGTCTCTGTGTTTCTCTGGGAGGAAAATAGGCAGGACAGATATTACACTGATCTGCAGTTTGGATGAGAGAATTTATGGCCCCAGTTGACTGAGGTCTTGGAAACCCATTTCCTAACCTCGCACACCGGCAGCCATATTAGCTGAAACACGGTGCATGGCATGGTATATGTAGCGATACTCACTGGCAGCAGCCCCCATTCCAGGGAAATTTTCTAAGAAAATGAGCAAGGGCCACAGGACTCTTGAACGTGCCTGATGACAGCCCAAGGGCAACTCTCTGGGAGTGGCTGTTGTACTTGCTTCCTGCTAAGGGCTTGGGGCTGCCAGGAGCTTGGGGCTGCGGCTGTCCTCGTGCATGCTTCAGCCCTTTCACTGAGACTTGTTGTCAAGACAGGGGGCGTGTGTAGGATTTCAAGATTAGCCTTCTTCACTTCCAAGGGTCTAAAGGTACCTTGAAGCTACAGGTTCCAACTTACCTGGCTTGGAGTTCTGGTTGCCAACAAGTGAATGAGTGTGGGGGGCAGAAGCACTGGAGTTTGTCCCATGTACAGTCAGGTGCAACCGACCTATCGGGATTTAACCCAACCCAATCCCTGCAGTTAATCACGGAACCAAATCTGCCGAGGCTGGAATCTTAAGCACACCTGCCAAGAGGTGTAGGTGAAAGCAGTGAGTCTAAACTGTGTGTAAACATGCACAGGGTCGTGTTACGCATGACTTCGCAAGACGGAGAACAAGCCCCCACGTGCTCCCCAACCACAGAGTAGAGCCGCTGAAATGAATGGGACTTAAGGCGAGTAACGTGAGACGCAACAGACTGATTGGCTGAACGGTTCAGGGGCAGCTGGCAGCTCCCGGTCCAGCGGAGCAGGCCACGACCGTGAGCTTTGGAGCCGCGGAGGACGCGTTGCTGCCGCCTCCTCCTCCATGGGAGAAGGGGCAGCGAAAGCGCTCCGGAGATGCCGCGCGAGTTTCTCGGGAAGAGGCGAAGCCGAGGCAGAGGCGAGCGGCCGCGGCGCGGGCGGGGGCGCGGCGCCAGGGAAGCCGGGCTCGGGCGGGGGTGCCGCCGCGGAGGCTGCGACTGGTCCGGGAAGCCGCCGCAGCGGGGTCCCCGCTCGGCTCAAGCGGGGCAGCGACCTCTCCGGCGCGAGGCGCGAGCCGGGGCAGGCGCCGCCTCCCGGCACCGGAGAGCGAGGTAGCGGCTCTCCCAGCGGGCAGCCTGCTCTCTTTCGCGGGCTGCAGCTCGCCCGCCCCGCATCCCTCCCTCTCGGTATCCCCCGCGAGCTACCTGGCTCGGCTGGGCTGGGCTGGGCTGGGCTCGGCTGGGCAGGAGGCTGGAGGGAACGGGGCGGCCGGCTGCTTCCTCGGCCGCGCCGCGGGCAGCCGCGGCTCCAGGCAGCTGCAGTCAGTCGCTCGCTCAGGGGTCCCGGTCGGTGCCCATCGTCGTCCGGCCCCAGCGAGCGGCCGGGCTCGGTGGATGCGCGGAGCGTGTGACGCGGCGGGCTCGAGCCGAGGTTGAGGTCATCCCGGAGGAGTGACACCCCGTGGCGGGCTCGCGCGGGGGAAGACGGCGACGTCCACTGGCGGGACGGCGGGACACCCGGCGGGGGGGCGGGGCGGGGCGGGGCGCGGAGGGGAAAGGGGCGGCCGCGGCCTGCAGCCTGGAGGGGGGAGGAGCCGCGGGGCGGGGAGGGGAGGGCGCCTCCGAGGCGGCGGAGGACGGAGAAGCTCTCCCCCCCCCCCGCGGCTGGGCGGGAGCGCGCACGACCTGTCCCGGCGAGAAGAAGCAGATGCCCCCGGCCGGCCCGGGAGGCAGAGGCGGCGTGAGCGGGGAGAGCCGGCCGTGCAGCTCCTCTGGCCGAGCGCCTGGCGCAGCCCCGTCCCGGGTTGCCCGCCGCCCGGGCTGCAGAAAGGGGCGCTTTCGCAAGTGCCGGAGGGAGGCCCGCGCCCGAGCGGCGACCCTAGTGGAGAGCCGCCGGCTTGGAAGGGGTGGGGGAGCCCGGAGTAAGAGGCACTCGAGGCGGGCGGGCGTGGGGGACGATCCAAGCTTCGCCAGGAACGGGCTGTCTTCTCCCCTGGAAAACCGTAGGTCCCTGAGCGGGGCACGCGAGCCGCCACCCCCAGCCCAGAGATCCAGAAGCGCGCGCCTCTCCCACGCACCCGCAGGCGCCCCGCATGGGCTCAGTGCCACGGATTCCTCGATTGCGCTGCGCCGCCGAACTTCCCGGCCGGCATAGACCGGCGAGGTGGAATAGGTGGCCGGGCAAAGGATGCCCCCAGCGCGAAGGACCTCAAAGCCTTCAGCTCCCCCACATCTCTCCTCCTTCCGAGCAGGGGAAACAGGTTTGTTGCCTACCTCGACATCGGCCCTGCTATTCGCGCGAGGCGTTCACACAGTCGGCGGCTTCGCTGTGTGCAGCAAACGGAAGGATGGCTGCCCGCCCCGCGCAGCCTAGGGATTAACCGGAGCGCGTCCTCGCCTCGCCTCGCCTCGCCTCGCCTTTGTCCGTGCGATGTGCAAAGCAGACCTGTAGCGCCCCAAGTCCCTTGCTGCTGCTGTCAATCCCGACCAGTGGTCGAAAGAACACCTGCCGCTGACCTCGCTGCTGCTCACCTGCTGCCTACCTTTAAAAAGCGGTTGTGCATCTGCCGGTACGCACAATATGGTTAGGTGTGTACAAGAAATCCCGGTACCAGTGCTATTCCTTTGTATGTAAATGATCATATAAACGTAGTCATTGCGCTGCTTTTTAGCTCGGCACATGCACTTCCCTCTTGGGTACAGATTAGACACCGGGGGCGGGGGGAGTCTCACTGACAATCAGCTTTTGCTTCTCCTCGGTTCATTCCTGCTCCGGGTGCACGCGAGTGTGCGAATGCTGGGTGTGCTTTCCCATAGTTGGCCCCCGTGTCCTTGGCCACTTGGCCTGTTGGAACATGTGAACACTGAGCACGCGTGCTGCGCACCGCCACACTTGCGTTTGGGACCTCACTCAAAGGCTGCAGGCAGGTCGCCCTGCCAAGGTGCAAGACGAACCCTCCCTGCTCCCTGAGCTTTCAGGAAAGCGCGATGCTCTGGGGCGGTCCAGCGCCCTGGCGGAAGGTGCTCTCACAGCCCCGCTGGGGGCGGCGGAAGAAGGGTTCCCCCCGGGCCGTTTGCCCAGAGGGAGGCTTCGTTGCGGCGCCTGAAAGCCCCTCCTTTTAATACCCGGGCGGGCCACTGCAGCAGACCGAGTCACGGAGAGGAGACGGTGCTCCGAGCGGGCCGGCCGCGCTCGCTGCTCTCCGGCACCGCGCACGGTCGGTGTGGGCGCAGGGCGTGTGCAGCGCACGAGGATCGCTCGCAGCCTGTGGAGGATGTGCGTGGCGGCGGCTACCTGCACATGGCCCGAGGGGGTTACGATCCGAGCACATCCAGCGAAAGGTTTTGCCCGTATTCTCTGAATGCAGCCGAAGCCGAGGGCACCGCCTGGAGCCGCAGCTTACCGCGGAGGTTTCTGATCTCTGACCTCGAGGGAGATCCTGCTCCTTAATTTGGGGGGGAGGGGAGGCGCAGCAGAGAGAGAGGAAGGTGCTCTTGGTGTGCCTGTCCCCCCCCCCCATGTCCCTTCAGATCTGCTTTTTGAGGGGGGCTGGCGACAAATGGGAGAGGGGTGCGGCTAAACCGTGACCAGACCAACCACTGTGAAAGTTGTTCCCATACGAGCGAATTCGACTGCTTATAGCTCAGGCAGTGCATAGCCCTTCCCCAGCTAGTGGCCTCCACATGTGCTGGACTACAAGTCCCATCACCCCAACCACCGCTGCAACGAGACACACCTTATTTCTCTGTGGTTGTAAAATAAATACAGAGCACAAAGTTGGCTAAGCACCAAAGACACGGTAACATCCAGCACTTCTCTGGAAGAGCTCTAGGCACGTATTCGCGAATGACCTCAGGATGCCAGAATGACCTCCTTTCCCTTCCAGATATAGTTCACACCGAGGAAATCGGTCCTGCCCCCTCCCCCGTTTTTACTCACGTTGCTTTCAGTTTTCTCACCAGCCCATCCATTCCTTGCAGACTGAACCAGGCTGTGCAAGCGAGGAGTCCCCTCCTTGTACAGTCAGACGCTGTGATGTGGGTAGGTTGCCCCTGAAAGATGGCATTGGGTCACCTGGTCTCGATCCCCTCCACCAGGAGGACCCTTGGGGGGAGTTTTGCACAATGGGAAATAACACGAGGATGCACTCAACTGCAGGCAAAACTATAGACTCGGGTTAGGGCTTACATTCTAAGCTGACTTCTAGGTAAACGTTATTAGGAACCCATTGTATGGGCTGGATGTGAATCAGTGGTTCAGCTCACGTGCTTTTTGTCAATTTGTTCAACAGGTGCAGAAAACAAACCGCAATATAAACTACTAGCTGAAAAATTCCAGAAGATCAGCCTGGCTGTCTGCTGCGGGAAAGCGGAAGAGGAGAGGCTTGACTGTGGCCTGCGCTTTGGTGTGCTGGACTCACTTCCTAGGCGCGTGAAGTGTGAAGCTTCAGTTGTCAGAGCACGTACCTGCATGGCTGTGCAGAGGGATAAACACTGAGGCCCAAACGTCTGTGACATTTTGATGCAAAGCTCAAAAATACACAAGAGAAACATGCTGGCCATTCAGATGTGCAGCAGGAACTGGTGATAACGCCACTTCCCTGGGCTTGCTATGCTAATTTAAGAGTTGAAGAGGGAGAGAAAGGAGGTGAAACTTTATTCTGCAGGGGCATACAACTTTCCCATGGAAGCCCCAGTTACTCTGTGATGTTTTAAAGCTTTCCCGTGCCTTCAGATGCTGAGCTCTGACAAGTGTAAAGGCACTTCATCAATTAACCTAATGAGCTTACCAGTATTTGGAGTGGGCGGTGGGGGGAGACTATGTTGCAGCATGAAATCCTCACAACTGGAATATCATAGCAAAAACGGGGTCAGTACCATGCCAATAACATGCATGCCACATTTTGCTCCAAGTCATCTCACAACGCCACTTTCCACGTGACTTCTCTTCATTTTCCTAGAATGCTAAAGAGGCCCACATGCATGATTTTCGACTATGCTTCATTCTGCTTTCACTGGGGGCTTTGCGCAACAATTTGTTGGGTACAATTTATTCATGAATTCATTTACTAATTTGCAGATACCAATTTTATGGCCCGACTTAAGTACTTTTACATCCTTATACTTTCTGTGGGTGACATGCAATGCAGCCCAAAGTGTACATGCTGAGGAGTTAGTCCCTTTGAGTTTTGGAGAGCATCACTGATATGTATAAGCAAACATAAGATCCACTAACTCAGTGAGATTTACTTGCATATATACAGATAAGACTCAATTGTGTTCCCACAAGGTACTTCAAAAGATTAGGCTTAACGCATGCTTAAATTTCCCCCTTTGAAGGAAGCAGCATGCTTGCTGAGTCCTGAGCTGGGTTTTTATACAGTACTATATGTACCCTATTTTAAGGATATCATTTTGAGGAAATGGAGAAATATTTCTTGATGCAGAGAATATTACACCTTCAGTGTTTCTGAAATAATCTTTCCAGTAATGTGTAATAGAAGATAACTTCTGCTTTGTTAATACCTTCTTCATTCAGGTGCTGTGAAATGCATTTGATTTTGCTCAGACCAGTTCACTACCCTGTCAGCTTACCTCAGTGTGTTTGCTTCTGCCTTACATGGCTGAAGAGAACTGTCTAGAAATATTTAGATATTTTCACTTGTAGTTTCTCAAGGCTTTTTTAACAAGAAAATTTATAATTTAATGCTCCTGATATCCTAATCATTAAAACATGTCTCACCTGAAAGTGTGTCTTCCACTGAAGTTAATAAAACTTATTTTCAGCTAATTGCCTTTGGAAGCTGAATTTTTATCTAGATAGTTTGAAAACTGTGTATGTGACAATGGAAAGATACTTTTTGTTTTTGATTAAAATCAATAGGAAATATTTTAAAGCAGATCTGTTTAGGAGAAAGTAAAGATATATTAGACCTCTACATAATTCTATTTTTTTTAAATTATAGGAATAGGGAGAAATGACTTCTGATCAAAACCCCATTTCCCAGCAAAGTACTAACATTTCTTACAGGAATTACACTTACGTCTCCTCCTTCCCTGGGCCTTTGCAAATTCCAATCTCTTCCTTACTAGCAATAACATCTTCAACAGAAATGTCCCACAACTCAGACCAAACGAAAAGGAAAGGAAAGTGAAAACTATCATTCACAGAAACATTATTTCTGCACTTACAGTATATTTGTCTTACAAGAAATATAGTGCCTCCCCCATTACCATGTGGGTCGCTGCTTGTTTGGGGGAGATTTTCTACACTTCTATTAGCTAATATGTACTTTACTTCCAGCGCTGCACTGGGTACTGCAAGTTTACTCAGAAACCAGTAGATTGTACGGGTGTGTGTGTGTGTGTGTGTGTGGATCACTCTTCACAGTGGAAAATGTTTCTTG